AATTGCAAAGGAAATTGTAAGTTAAATAAAATTTCCTACTTAGTTTCATTCCTTTAAAAACATCTCAACTCATCACTATAACTAACGAAAACACCCACTAACTATTTTGTAGCAACAACATCAACTCAAATGGAATAAAGCATTACTCAACAATCAAGGAAACATGTTATCATCTCAAGAGTGCGAGACAGTAATTGCATCAATTGAGAAATGCCCACAACAAACCCCACACTCGTAAGATACAAAATCAATAAACTAATCTTCTAATATGCTAAATTTTGCAGTTTTACCTAACTAATTATCTTCATCTAAAACTTTCCAGGAATGATTGTGCAATCGCCGTCTGCAATATTATCAACCAATATATCAACTGGCAACCTGTGCAGAAATCACTTTGACCAATGAGTGGGTCAAATTTCGAGCAGAAATCATCAGTCAATTCCTCAATGATGAGAACCGATCTTGGAAACTCGAGCACTACCAAATGTTGACAAAACATACCAAACCATAGAAACAATCAACAAACTTCTTGACAATACAAATATTCAAGTGAACATATCTTTGTACTTTTTTTTTTTAACATGTGACAAGTACTTTATATACTTTTGGGAGTGATCTTCTTCTGGTTATTATGGTGAAAATGATTGTTGTCATTGATATTGTTGTTGCTCTTCTTCTTGTTATTATTATTGTGCTTGTACTTCTGATTGTTTGTGTACTTGTTTGTGGTTGCATATATTTTCATACAGTAAATGTTGTTTCTAATAATTCCTCAAATTGTAATATTATGTAGTTTCATCAGGTTGTTTCTAATAATTCTTAAAACTGCAAAATTATGCAGTTTCATCAGGTTGTTTCTTATAATTATTAAAACTGCAAAATTATACAGTTTCATTACTCAAACAAAATTTATGCTACACAATTATGCATCCAATTTCATAACTCAACAAATAGATGAACTACATTTCAAAATTAAAAATAAAACTGCAAAATTTTACAGTTTTCTCGCTATAAAATATGAAATAAATAAATCATGTAGTAAAACTGCATTTCAATATTATACAGTTTCAATAAGAAATTTTCAACAACCTTCTGTGCATTCCATAACAATAAAACTAACCAAACCCACAAAAAAAAAACTATAAAAAATAAAAAAAAAAACTGTTACAAAACAACTTCAATAACTAAAAAACACATCAAAAAACAAAAAACAATTCAACCAACTTTATTCATTACTTCCATAATACCAAGTATCACATTTTTTATTATCATAATTCCTCCAATTCAAATACAAATCCAAAAGAATAGACTGTGGCCTCAAATAGCAGCCTTGCACGTCTTCATATTGTGATTCCCATATTTCAAGCACCTCCCACACTTGATTTGCTTCACATTCTCACCCCTAGAAGGTATCCTTTTTTTCTTGTTCCGCCCGGGCTACTTCTTCGTTATAGGAGGTTTGATAATCGAACTACTGGCACCATCAAAGTCAAATCTCTCACTTGAAAGCACTGGATAAACAGATTCCTTGTATGATTTTCTAAAACAATCTACATGAAAAAAGGGATCAATGAAATCATACACATCTCTACCACTACTACGCAAAACATGCACCATATGACAACAAGGAAAACAATTCAATTGCCATTCATGGCAAGAACAAGTCTGTCTACCAATATCAACATAAAAAGAAATAGAAAAATGAACCTCAAGCACAGTATCACCAGCAACAATCACATCCCAAGACTTAGCTAGCTCCAAAGAGTCCACCAACTTCTTTTCCATAACAGGACACAATTTCGTAATCCATCTTTTAGATTCAGCTCTTCTATTCGACAATTGAGTTATGATTTGAACCCTAATCATATCAACCATACAAGTAATAGGCAATTCACGGGCCCCACCAATCCAATTATTGTAAGACTCGGCAGTATTAGATGACATCTCACCATATCGTTTCCCTCTAAAAAATGCATTCGCCCACTTATCATTTTGCAAACCATCCAACATACTATTAACTCTACCATTCCCAGCAATACGCCTTAAGTTCTCCATATAATGTTGGAAAGAAGCAACCGTTGGCGCGTAAGCACATTTAACTAATATTTTCATCAAACTCAGCTTATAGTTAGTACGAAGTCCCACAAATTTGTCAATCAAATTTCTCTTCAAATGATTCAAGCAATATGCATGATGTGCATTAGGAAAAACCACTGAAAAAGCGTCTAGCAATCCATGTTGACAGTCCGACACAAAGGTCAATCTCTGGCCTAAACCAACACCCTTTAACAACTGACTTAAGAACCACATCCAATTATTTTGATTTTCAGCGTCAACAATCACAAAAGCCAACGGAAACAGACCTGCAAACAACATAACATCAAATTGTAAAAATTAGCAGACTCACAATACAATAACACATTGACAAACCAAACCTATACTAACTGCAAATAAATACATACCTTGATTACCATCCTTTGATGTTGCTGCAAGCAAATGCCCCTTGTAACGCCCCTTCAAGAATGTACCATCAACAAACAACAACAGACGACAAAATTGAAAGCCATACAAATATCCATGAAATGCCACAAACAACCTCCAAAAACACCCACTACTTTCATCCATATCTAATTCAAACACACTTCCTGGATTCGTTCTCATAGCCGTCTCAGGGTACCATCGAAGTTGGTCAAAAGAAGTTGTAAAATCACCAAACAACCCACCTCTTGCCTTATCAACTCCTAACCATGCAGCCCGATAAGAAACATCTATACCATATTGCTTCTTCAACTTTTTTTTTCACTTCAATAGGACGAGTCAATAGATTATCACTAATATCATTTTGCACAATATCATACACAAGTCTAGAACCAACCATTTTGTTACAAGATCTACGAGCCACAATCCCATAAGTATGCACATTATCCAACATCATTATAAAAAAAATACCGGAATTCATCAACACCCTTCCATGCACAAACCATTTACAACCCATAAACGACTTCATCACACATTCAACAGTTACTCTTGTTGCATCATTCTTCAAATAATTCACTGCAAAACCACACTCAGCTGCATACTTAGCCAATGCAATGTGGAACGCCGGCACTCTACCTTCAAATTTTTGACCAACACTATGTATAATCCCCTTCTAATTAGCAGACAACAAAACTCTCTCTGGTTCTGGATAAAAACTAGGCAACAAACCACCAAAATCATCACAATCATTAACCAAAGAACTCTCACCAATTATAGAATCAATCTTACAAGAATTACCATCGTCAACCTCCACAATTCTCTTATCACCCACAACAACATCAACAACATGACAACCACTACCACCTACCATTGACAGTATATTCCGCAAATCATTATCACATTCAACAATACAATTAGAATATCCAGCAATAGAGAAAAACAAACAACAGTTACCAACACTCAATTCCTTGAACTTCGCACATATTTTCTCAACAACTTCATCATAACTACATCCCTCACTAATCTTAATAGCAGCACAATAATTACTGTATTTGTACATTAACATGAAACACCCCTCCATATTACAAAATTACAAACCAACAAACAATTGTTCACAGATTCCAAACTGCAAAATTATACAGTTACAACATATTAGTACCAACACTGCACAATTCACAATTTCAAACTGTAAAATTATACAGTTACAACATATCAGTATCAAAACACCAGAATTCACAATTCCAAACTACAACTTCAAAACACATTACACTATACCACAAACAAAATCAACAAAATCAAAATCATTACACTATATTACATACAAAAATCAAATTAAATAAATATCAAACAAACAAAATTTATCAGAAAACAAAGAACTAAAATAACATTACCAAACACAAACCAGATATCACGTAAATTTGCTTATCTATATATACATATATATATGTATACACACACAGAGATACATACACATACATATATGTATCAACAGATACAAACCAGATACACAAAGAGAGAGAGAGAGAGAGAGAGAGAGAGAGAGAGAGAACATACGCAGAGATCGCCTGTACACAGAGATTCAAATCGCACAACCAGATCCACCTCACAGCATAATGAGATCGACCACACAGCACAATGAGATCGCCATAACGAAGAGAAATCGAGATCGCACAGACTAAAAGATTTGATTTTCTTTTTTGAACGGAACAAAAATTTGATTTTTCACGTATATATAGATCTCAAAACAAATGGTAATACAGTCATTTACAAAATACAAAAATAAAAAAACGGGACCTCTGGGTATAAAACTTAAAAACTGTGGACCTATTAATCTATTAAAAATATATTGAAATTAGAAGGGAAATAGATCTCATACATAGGACTACTTAGTAATTTTTCCAAATAAAATAAAGTAAATCATTGAATTGGGGCCTGTCCCAGGCCCAATGGGTAGGACCGGATAAAAAACTCAGCCAATGAATAATTGGGCTCGGCTAGTTATATATCTTAGTTTGCTCCATGGGCTACGAAAACGCAACAAATAAACCAAACACTAGAACCCAGTAAAGACATAAAAAAATGTTGTTGTAGTTGAGATGTTATTTTAGGTATGATTCACATTACATTTAATATAAATGTAAATTACATAATGTAATTTTTCTGTATTTTTTGTATTTTATTTTTGTATATTTAACATTATTGACCAAATACATAAGCACATATAAAAAATATATAAATTAATAAAATTATACAAGATTTGTTTGTGGAACTAAAAAATCTTATCCATCTATTTATATCTTATATCTAATTTTGTGTTTGGTTTGTACAATTCTAGATTTGTAGTTGAACTAAACTAGTGGGTGAGTGAGGATGACATTGTCAATCAATTTTGCAATAAAAACAAAGCAAAGACCCCACTCTATCCACAAAATTCCAGGTGGCATGAGACTATTGGTACAAATTCCATCCATGCAATCACACTGTCACACAGTGACCATCACACATATCATCTCATCACCAAACTCTCTAATGTGAGAGCTAAAATCACCACCACCACCATTCAAAGCAAACTCCATTCTCAGCTCCAAAACTAAGCTTAGCTAGGGAAATGGCAGCAACCATGGCCACCGCTTCCACCGCCGTCGTAGGCTTGGGCACTTCCTCCCTCTCTTTGTCTTCTCGTGTCTCTTCACCAAAGACAACATCCCTCAACTCAGGTACTAGTTTTGTATTTCATTCATCTGGAGTTGAATATATAAAAAATAAAAAATTAAATTAAAACATGCAATCAATTAGATATAAGATATTTAACGCTATATTTGAAATATGAATTTAGATAAAAATTTAAAAAGAGAAAGAGAAAAAGTGAAACAAATATAAATAAAACATATACTACATCTCTATCCAAATCTTTTATTTTTCCTTTCATTTTCAAATCGTTACTCAAATCCATGATCCCATCATAACTTAATGGCAAATTATTATACTCATAGTCTTATAATTCACTTCATGCGTCAATTTAGGTTTAATAGTTCTAATTACATTAATTCTAAAGTCTATCCTGGAATTTTTTACATGGGGTCAATTAATTTAATTGATATTGTCTTTTAAGAAGTTCGACCGAAATTGAGAGGTAAAATAGTTCATTCATTCTTCTCAAAGTGATTGAAGAATTGACATGTAGTTTAAATTGGTTCATTTGTTATTTGAATGGATTATTTGTCTTTAATTTTTGTGCAATTTTTGTCCGATTTGAAATGGTTCGCTCGGTTTTGAATTGAATATTTTTGTACTTATTTTTTTAGTCTAATTCTTAACTAAGTAGGTGGTGTCTAATTTGAAATAATTTATTATTTTTTAATTAATCATTTTTCCTTTAAAATTATGTCAAATTTCTTAAAAAATACTATTAATTGTTAACTACATGCATAAAATTAGCACAAAAAGCAAATTACAAATAGCACCTATATAATTTGCCCATAATGTGCTTAGATTTTGAAAAGTTCAAAAAAAAAAAATGATCTACATGTTAATGTACAGCCTTCCTGAAGTCTCCGGTGAGGGTGAGAAATCCTCTGGTGCAAGCACATGCTTCGGGAGGAAAGTTCACATGGTAATTTTACTACTTATTATGGCACAATAATAATTAATCATGACCGTTGGTTCTAATGATGATATTTGTAACTGAATTTTGATGTTGATGATCTTAAAGCTTTGAGAGAGATTGGCTGAGAACAGATCTGAATGTGATTGGATTTGGGCTGATCGGATGGTTGGCACCGTCGAGCGTGCCGGCGATCAACGGGAACAGCTTAACAGGGCTGTTCTTCTCTAGCATTGGAACTGAGCTCTCTCACTTCCCCACTGGCCCTGCTCTTGATTCTCCATTCTGGTTAGTAATCATTTATTTATTATTGTCATGCTTGGTTTAACTAAAGGGAAAATAATTTATATTGGTAATAGAATCTCCATTCACCAAAGAGAATGGCTATTTCATTATTCTTTTATAATGATATAGTTGTGTTGAGGTTTAACATTTTAAAACAAATTACTCATAAAAATAATATTTAATTGTCATATGTAAAATTTGTATACGAGTGTTGTTTTTCGAAATCTTTATTTAATTGAGCTTTCAAAACTTTGTATTTGGATTTTTAAAAATTATTTATGCTCAAAAAAGAAAAGTAAAATCATATATGAAAATAATAAGTATTTTTTTTTTATTTTTTAATTTTGAGTTTATAAAAAAATTCTCAAACAAACTAACAAATCTAAACCAAAAGAAACATTTCCTTGGTTGAACTTGAGTGGGCCTCCCATTGGAAAGGCAGTGGTTGGGCTACAGTTGATGTGTTGGCTTGGATCCTATTAGGCCTATTAACCCTTCCTGTTGGGCTTATATGACCTAGTGTTTTTTTTTTTTTTTTTTTTTTTTTTTTTTTTTTTTTTTCTCTCTCTCTCTCTCCAAAATACCAACTTAATATTATGACCTAGCTTTATAAAAGCCTAACATAAAATTGACCCAGTTGCTATTAAGGAACAGGTTTTTAATTTTCTTTTTATTTTTAAGAAAGGTCTATACTAGTAACTTGAATGTTGTTTGACTGAAATTCCTGCTTGCTATTTATTCCATGAAATAAGCAAAATAATACAGAAATTGTAAAGCAATGACTTGTGACTTAAAAAAACAAAACTCAATTCATACCCTTAGCTTAGGCCTGCAAACTCTCTTGGTGGGGTGTTAGACCGTTACCACAAACCTTGTCCTCCAATCTCATTCTCTCATAATCACATAATTTATATTTAATTAATGTTAAATTTACAAAAATAAATAAATAAATAAAATATTCGTGCGATCATAAGTGCATGATCCAAAGCATGTGTGACTAATAATAATGCATCATATATGACATACTAATTTTTATTTTTTTTGGGTTTCTTAAATGAATGTATAGGTTGTGGATGGTTTGTTGGCATTTAGGGCTGTTCTTGTGCCTTACTTTTGGGCAAATTGGCATCAAGGGGAGGACAGAGGAGTACTTTTGAGATGGCAACATGGTCTTTCTCTATCTGTAATCTATATGTATGATAAAAACTCTATTATTTATATTTATCTGTAATCCATGTAAGATAAAAACAAAACTTTGTATGTAGTTTCTCACCACTTTTACCCTTTCTTCAATTCATGTTCAAGATAAATACTCCCTCACCCCCTTTCTTTGTTGTTCAATGGTTGCCTTAAAAATAAAAAATAAAAAAAGGAAAGGAATTTATAATGCGATCATGCTACGTAGCTTGAATGCCGCGGCTCGAAACGCGGCTCGACACCAAAACGACGTCGTTTTGGTGTCGATTTTGTTTTTTTGTTTTTTTTTTCCTGGTTTTGCAGAACGAAGAAGAAGAAGAAGAAGGGAGAAGAAGAGAAGGGAAGAGGAGGAGGAGGAGGAGGAGGAGGGAGGGGAGGGGGCCATAAAAACCGGTTTGAGGAGGAGGGGAGGCTGGGCTGCGACGGAGGAGGAAGCAGCAGCAGCGGCCGGAGCTGCGACGACGGCGGGGCGGGGCTGCGACGACGCCGACCTTCTTCCTCTCCCTCCCTTCTCTTTCTCCTCTCCCTCTCCCTCTCTTCCTCTCGAGCCATTTCGAGCCTGGTAGCTTCGAGCTACCAGGCATTTTCCTTTATAATGATAGTATAGATCCTACTCACAAGACTTTAAATCCATAAGTCCTCTATTAAGTTTATATGACCAATCTATGCTTACAAATTCAAGAACACTTGGCCTTGTTTGATTTGTATTTGAGACATGTTTTGAGATAAAAAGTACGAAAATTTGTTTGGTTTAATTTTTTTTCAAAAAATGTTTTGAAAAATTATTTTGAGAGAAAGTTTTGAAAAAAGTGATTGATTTGATGTGTATGAGAGAGATTTGTTTAGAAAAATTGTAAACCAAATAAGTTTTGAAAAATTATTTTTAAAAAAATTTGTTTGGTTTGATTAACTTCGAAAACTTATTTGTAGAGAATTTTTCCTAAAATTTTTTCCGAAACACAAACTAAACAAGGCCTTCTCTCATCAGAAACCCTAGAAATGCTCCTTCTATCTTGAGATTCAAACTCAGAGATCTTGACACCAATCACTCCCAAAATGCAAATGGCTTCAATCAAATCCGTTGCATTGCAAAACAACTCTTTTGATTCTCGATCTTCAACCCAATCTCACCACTCCGATCCATCCTCCTCCACCAAGCTCAACAAGCCCAACCAATCATCTCTCAAACGCCACATTGGCGGATCCACCGCCCGCTGTAACTAATTTTTGCCGGCGTAGCAGAGTAGAACTCTTCGCGTGCCATTGTCAAAGCCAAATCGTCCGACATAGCTCAAGTAAGAGTGAAAAACGATCAGAATTTTAGTGACCATCGTCGTCGTCTCTCACCGTCGTGACCCAATTATGCCAATCTCGAACCACACCTGGATATTTTCAAATCTAAAAAAATGTAGAAGAATGAGGAAAAGGTAAGGTGAGAGAGAGAGAGAGAGCGCGCGTAAGAGCGACGGATAATATCCTCAGTTTTAAAAATAAAAATAAAAATAAAAATAAAAAATTAATAATGTTCACAGTTTTATTAAATAGTCGAATTAAATCAAAGAGTAAAAGTGTAAAAATGTTTAATATCATTTTTTTTTTTTCATTAGTTAGCGAAACAACTATCTAGAATATTGGGGGTATTTGTTTCAGCTTTTCAGAGTTAACTTATGGTTTTTAGTTTTGAAAAAGTTATTTTGGACGGTTTGGTTAAACTTATTTCAAACAACTTCTGATTCTAACAGCTTATTTTAACTCAAAAAAGCTGATTCTGAGAAGCTGCTCACCCCTTGCTTCTGATTATCAGCTTCTGCTGTGGACATGTTAATTGATGGTTATACTCTTAAATTTTTTTATTTTTTATTTTTTTAAAAATAGAAAAAGACCCAAATGGACTATAGATTATTATTATTATTTTTTATGAGAAATGTAGACAAACAAAAAATAAAAATTAATTGAAAAAGCTATTTCACAGCTTATTTAACAAACACTACTCAGCAACTTAAATCTATAATCCAACAGCTACACCAAACAGATTAACAACTTCTGATTAAAGTCATAATCTATAATCTGTTAAGTTATAATCTATAAGCTGTTTTAACAGTTACACCAAACGGGGCCATTATTGTGCAAAATTGATAATATTCTTAGTTTAAAACTAAAAAAAATTGATAATGTTCTCTATTTTACTGGATAGTCGAATCAAAACAAAATTCAAAAGGCCAAAAACGTCATTATATCTCAAAATATGACTTATTGGTTCAAAAAAATTTATACACCTGAACTACCACAGTCTAGGTGAATATAACTTTTAAATAATTAACTAAAAAAAATGTGATTCAACTAATCTAACCACATCCTAAGATCTTCTACTCACTATCACTAAAATAATAATGGGCTTACACATCATCTACTATCGCCAAATATAGAGCTTGTTTGACATAAATTTTTTGAGATTTTTTGGTTATTTTAGCCCAAAAAAAATAAAATAGATTTTTTAACTTAATAAAACAAAACGTCACATTCAACCTACAATCATTATATTTTTTCTCTCACAAAAGTTAAAAAAGTCAAACAATTCATCCCAAACGAGATTTTTTAACTTCAGACTAAAATAGTAAAAAAGTTAAAAAATCAAAAAGTTAAAAAGTCAACTCACATTCCAAAAAAACCCATAAATGATACGTAATATCTCCATATAAATTGCCACACCTTCACACTCATGTAGGTAAAAATCAGTCAAGGTGTTTCGTAAGTCTTACACGTCACTCATATTTCATCAAGAGTATAAAAATTGAACGTTTTAGCCTCCGTTTGGCAAGTTGGGTTGGGGGCTTTTTTGGCACAAAAGACAAAATAGGCTATTTTAGCCACAAAAAACAAAACATCACATCCAACCCATAATCATTACACTCTTCTCTCACAAAAAAAGTCAAAAAAGCCAAAAAGCCAAAAAGCCCTTCCCAAACCAAGCTTTTTAGCCCAGGCTAAAATAGCCAAAAAAGCCAAAAAGTCAAAAAGCCAACCCACTTCCCAAACGGAGGCTAATGTTATAGTTTTAAAAATCTCATGTGACACCAAAACAGATCTATACAATCCTAAATGAATGAATAGACAAGAATCTTAAAAAAGAAAAAGAAAAAAAACAAAATCAATTTCAGTTGTTTTTTTTCCAAGTACAATTATGTTTTGGAAGTTCTTCTTCTGTTGTAATAAAAACATATGAAGGCTGTACAAGGTCCTAAAAGCCATTTCTTGCATACAAGTAATTGGGACAAAAGTCAAGGTGTTTCGCAAGTCTTACACGTCACTCATATTTCATCAAGAGTATAAAAATTGAACGTTTTAATGTTATAGGTTATGTTGTCAATAGTTTACGATACACGTTACGTATTTTATGATTTCTTTTAGAAGAAAATTGATACTATCATTAATGCATATGTTAAATTCAATGCATCATACGATGCATATACGATATGTGATATGATATACGACACACGATGTAATACGCTACTTATGTTACATAAATATGTAAAAGACATTTACACACAAATATTAATTTATGAACTTATAATCTGTTGAGTTCTAATTAAAATTTTTTGAACCTTCAAGTTCCATTAAATTTTTAATAGTCGGAATTGGCCTTTAAACAATAATTGTTTATCATTTATGATTATCTATAAAGGAATATAATGATTTAACATTTATTTTGATTTTTAAAATTTTAAAATATCAACTTTCAAATTGAAAAAAAAAAATTCAAAAAATTATGTACGAAAAAAAAACTACTTTTTTTTTTGAAAAAATTGAAACAAATTGATTTTTTTTTTTTGTGCAAAACTAAAAATTTTGTGTCTATAAAAGGAGCATGATGGTGGAACATTGATTTGAAAAACTAAAAAAAAAAAAACAAAAACAAAAAATTGAAAAAACTAATCACCTTGCTTGTTTCCATTTTTCAAAAAATACTTTTCAGAAAATTATGCTTTCTTATTTTTCGTGTTTTTTTGTTTTCACTGAATTTTTTTAATATTTTAAGTAATTTTTTTACTTTTTAGACACACCTAACATAAATACACCTAAAAAGTAAAAAAAATGTAAAAAAAATCTTTTAAAAATTCACTAAATACCAAAAATACAAAAAAAAAAATTCAGTACATTTTTTGTATTTTTATGTATTTATTAACTTTTTAAAATATTTTTTCACAATTTTTTTAATTTTTAAATACATCTAAGTAACGTGCATCTAAAAAAAATGTTTAAAATTTTAAAAATATTTACTAAAAACAAAAAAACACGAAAATCAAAAAAATCAATTTTCAAAAAACTTAATCCAAAAACTCAAACCAAACACACACAATACTAATCTATTTTCACACCATCACTTCAAGAAAGATTCTAAAGCCCCATATGTAGCAATCCCGATTTCGACCATTGTTTCATGTTTTGCCACTTTACTGAGTATATCGGGGATCGAGCTGCCCGATCAGCTCGCGGGGGTCCAGGGGGCAACACCCCGTTTATTAATTTTTTAAAATATTTTTTCACAATTTTTTTAATTTTTAAATACATCTAAGTAACGTGCATCTAAAAAAAAATGTTTAAAATTTAAAAAATATTTACTAAAAACAAAAAAACACGAAAATCAAAAAAGTCAATTTTCAAAAAACTTAATCCAAAAACTCAAACCAAACACACTGAATAATATTTTCAGTTTTAAAACTGGAAAACGCTGATAATGTTCTCAATTTTATTGAATAGTTGAATCAAACTAATAAGTAGAAGGACAAAAATGTTTAATCTCATGCTCTATTTTTTTTTTTCAGTTAGTGAAATAATTATCTGGAACATTATTATACAAAATTGATAATGTTTTAGTTTTAAATTGAAAAAAACTGATAATATTCTCAGTTTTATTAAATAAGACTTATTGGTTCAAAAAATCTTGAATAGAACTTGAGTTATCATTTGTAATAGGACTTTTAAGTAATTAACTCATACTTAAATTTCTTCAACAAATTTGAAAAAAAAAAATTAATTAATTATTTTATGTAGATAAATATTGTCAAAAATTTTCATTAACTTATTAAAAAAAAGAAAAACTATTTTTAATACGAGAATGGTACTTTTTAGTTTATTTCTCTACTTTATGACATATCTATTATATGGTTTAAGAATCTTGCGTTATTAATTTATGTCATGCGAAGATAATATGTATTGTTGCATATATATATACATATATGAATAATGCTTGGGACCCCCTTTTGGGGGTCACCCCTCACCCCCCCTTTGCCACGTGGCGGATGGTGATTGGAGGAGTAGGAAAAAAAAGAAAAATAAAAAGAAAATGTAACCAATGGGAGAGAGAGGGGGTCAAAGGGAGTGGGGGGAAAAAGGGGATGAATCATTGTTGTCATGAGATATTTATTTTTTATAATTATATTTATTGTTTTACTTAATTCTAAGAGAAAATTTCATTTTTATCCCTATACTTTTCCTCAATTTTCAATTACACCCCTAGACTTTGAATAATTTCAATTTTACCCTCAAAATTTTTGAAATCGTATCAATTTTGCTCTTCCGTCAAATTTGAAATGAAAAAAGTTTAAAAAAAAAATTACATTTTGGTCTCAAATTTCAAATGATACATCGCAAACCCACCGTCTTCTTCTCAAATCCACCATTTCCTCAAATCCTCTCCAAATCTAAACCCTAAAACCCCTTATTCTTCTTCAACTTCTCTCATCCTTCTCTGTTCCAGTTTCTTACACACACTTTCCAACCCACATTCCAAAAAAACCCATAAATGATCACACACACACACACACACACACACACACAGAAAGAGAGAGAAAGGAGAAGATAAAAGATAAAAGGAGAATACATAGAAGAAAATAATCCCAAACCTTTGACGAAACCAACAGCCCCACTACCGCTACCATGCAATCACTTATGAAGAGATTAGCATCCTCACATTCAACTAAAATTTGGTAATAACTTATCATTTGCAACAGAGTAATAATAATGATAAATAACCATTGAACTTCCTATCTACAAACATCAACATTTATATCACACAACTCAAAATAATATGCATATATTGAAAGAAAAATTGAAAACCAGAAATCCTATCTCCGAAACCGAGCACTTGACACAATTCAGTAACTTTTTGATACCTTGTGGCAATGGCAACAAAAATCAAAAGTTTCTCTACACTAAACTCGTCTCCCAAACCATAAGTCCTCACAAGAAGAAGAAACCCAAATGCCTCCAATGGATTCTCACCATCAGAACCCACTTTCCCTTTCCACTCATTAACCAATTTCCTCGCTCTCTCCTTCACTTCACTCCTAATCTCCGGCTTCACACCCATCAACTCCAACAAAACTATATAGCTCCACCTTGAATCATACACCTGATTTTGTCACATAGAAATCTTCCATCGGAGTGGAGTCCAGAATAAGCCGATGCACGTCAAAAAGCTCGGCTCTGATCGTGGCTCGCTCATCGCGCCGCTCTGGCCGAACCGAGACAAGTGAATCCGATTGTTGGATTTGATTTGGGGGTTGTTTGAGTGGTTGAGATTGGGTGAATCCGATTGTTGGATTTGATTTGGGGGTTGTTTGAGTGGTTGAGATTGGGGGTTTTATTGGGATTAGAGGAGAGTGAACTAGGTTTGGAGGGAGGAGAAGTGGGAATCAAGGTCGGACCATGAGAGGGTAAAGGAGGAGAGAGAAGATGAGTGGGATTAAAGACCTTTGAAGGCTTTTCAAAGATTCTCTTTCTTCGAATCACAAGACTCACAGCTACTGAGATTGTCGCCATTGTCACCATTTTGTGAAATTTTGTATAAAGAGAGTCTAATGCTGCACTCATAGAGCAAAGAAGAGATTGAAGAATTAAAGGAAACGGAAAGAGGGTGAGTTTAAGTAGGAGAAGGTGGGTTTGTACATTTCTTTTGAAATTTGGGGTTAAAATGTAATTTTTTTTAACTTTTTCCGTTTTAAATGTAACAAGAAGGATTAAATTGATACAATTTCAAAAAGTAAATGGATAAGATTGAAATTATTCGAAGTCTGGGAGTGTAAATATAGTATATAGTGCATTTCTAACAAACAGCATAGGGAAATTTCAATACAAGTTGTGATTGCAAATTGACTCGATAACAGATAAAATCAACAAAAAGATCAAAGAATTAAAAGAATGGTCCGAAACAAAGAAATAGAAGAACTGAAGTCATATGGATTCACAAACTCAATTTATAGAAGATATCTAAATAGTTCTGATGATTCAATCAATGCAATGAGCAGCCTGAATTAAGGTTTTTTTTTTTTTCGGATAAATGAGCACCCTGAATTAAGTTAGAGATGATATAGATGCATATAGCGCATAACAACATTATCAATTTCGACTGGGAGAAGGTAGTTTCTTGGTCATGACACTCATCACCACTTGGAAGGAGCACTTACAACTGGGAAATGATACATATATGATATATGTACAGAACATAAGTTTTGACAATTTTGGCAACAGACACGTAAATGACCAGATACATTCTTGATCATAACTACATGCAAATGCAACCATGTAACAGAAGATTCTCAATACAATGCCAATGACAGCCAATTCATCAGACTCTAGTAATGAGGATGGTGCTCATCAACCATCAATTATTGATGAAGAATCGACTGGTATTCAAGCAAGTACTTCAAACAGTTTTCAGCAGAGGATTCCAGTACCTAATTGTGAGAGCCTTCGGTTTTCCCAGATGCTGATGTAAAAGTGACTGGGTCGGTTGGATGATCCCTCACAGTTAGACTAAACACTTCCGACCTTGAATAATGCCCAACCACATCAAAACCAAACTTCGCACGTGCTATTTCCCCAAGATCTGTCCATCATTGGATCGTCATAAAATACCAATGACAAATAGAATTTTCTGGAGTATGTGACGCAAAAACCAAAGTAACTTTTAATATTCCAAATTGGTAACCTAAGATAGTTTAGATTGATGAATATGGGGAAGAACCTGATATTTCACTGAAGCACAAATAGTCACAAAGTGAAGAGAGAGAGAACGTTTGAAGATATATGCTCCACACAAGCAACAAGAAAACATTGGAAGATTCTTGCACTAGGCTTGGTTGCTATTAGAATGCACAACTTTAAAAAAAATAAAATAAAATAAAAAAAAATCATAATTTTATAATAAACTAGATCACAATATAGTCACATGATCCTATGTTATTTACCGAGAAATGCTAGAGACCCATATGTTTAGACCCACAAATTAATGATGTGACAAAGGAGTTGGGCCTTATATAATTAGGTGTGTAACAAAACAAATGTTGACACCTATTATACTACATCATTGTGGATCGAATTGTGGGAGTTTTTTTGTGGGTTTCAGACATTTTCTGTTATTTACCTATCCTGTTTCTTTTCAGAAAATTTATTTACTTTTATCGTGAACAACAATATGAGGATAAGTTAATGAGGTTTGGCATAGATTGTACAGAGAAACCATACCTAGATCAGCAGAGATAAGTGCCTCCCCATCATAATTGGGGCCCGCTAGAACAGTGCCTGATGGTGAAATAATGACGCTGAATCCGATTGTTGGATTTGATTTGGGGGTTGTTTGAGTGGTTGAGATTGGGGGTTTTATTGGGATTAGAGGAGAGTGAACTAGGTTTGAAGGGAGGAGAAGTGGGAATCAAGGTCGGACCATGAGAGGGTAAAGGAGGAGAGAGAAGATGAGTGGGATTAAAGACCTTTGAAGGCTTTTCAAAGATTCTCTTTCTTCGAATCACAAGACTCCCAGCTACTGAGATTGTCGCCATTGTCACCATTTTGTGAAATTTTGTATAAAGAGAGTCTAATGCTGCACTCATAGAGCAAAGAAGAGATTGAAGAATTAAAGGAAACGGAAAGAGGGTGAGTTTAAGTAGGAGAAGGTGGGTTTGTACATTTCTTTTGAAATTTGGGGTTAAAATGTAATTTTTTTTAACTTTTTCCGTTTTAAATGTAACAAGAAGGATTAAATTGATACAATTTCAAAAAGTAAAAGGATAAAATTGAAATTATTCGAAGTCTGGGAGTGTAAATATAGTATATAGTGCATTTCTAACAAACAACATAGGGAAATTTCAATACAAGTTGTGATTGCAAATTGACTCGATAACAGATAAAATCAACAAAAAGATCAAAGAATTAAAAGAATGGTCCGAAACAAAGAAATAGAACTGAAGTCATATGGATTCACAAACTCAATTTATAGAAGATATCTAAATAGTTCTGATGATTCAATCAATGCAATGAGCAGCCTGAATTAAGGTTTTTTTTTTTTTCGGATAAATGAGCACCCTGAATTAAGTTAGAGATGATATAGATGCATATAGCGCATAACAACATTATCAATTTCGACTGGGAGAAGGTAGTTTCTTGGTCATGACACTCATCACCACTTGGAAGGAGCACTTACAACTGGGAAATGATACATATATGATATATGTACAGAACATAAGTTTTGACAATTTTGGCAACAGACACGTAAATGACCAGATACATTCTTGATCATAACTACATGCAAATGCAACCATGTAACAGAAGATTCTCAATACAATGCCAATGACAGCCAATTCATCAGACTCTAGTAATGAGGATGGTGCTCATCAACCATCAATTATTGATGAAGAATCGACTGGTATTCAAGCAAGTACTTCAAACAGTTTTCAGCAGAGGATTCCAGTACCTAATTGTGAGAGCCTTCGGTTTTCCCAGATGCTGATGTAAAAGTGACTGGGTCGGTTGGATGATCCCTCACAGTTAGACTAAACACTTCCGACCTTGAATAATGCCCAACCACATCAAAACCAAACTTCGCACGTGCTATTTCCCCAAGATCTGTCCACCCTATACCTCATCTAATTATACCCTACATATACACGCTCTATATGTATGTGTGAACACAATTTGGTATTGCATAGAATTTTTCCTAAAGCAATGTTTCCTAAAAAGTACATGCAGCCTAACACAATACAAAGAGTCCAAATAGATCACATTCATTTTGGATTGTGACTCTTAATCAACTTTGCCTAGACCAAACACAAAAGGACATACCAGGCACATCAATGGCTGCAGCATGATACTTCCGGAACTCCTCTTTACCGTTAGCTGTGCGGTTACCAATTGTAACACCAAAATTTGAGCCACGAGGATAACCACCCACAAAGGCTTCCGGAAACACAACTAGCTGGGAACCAAACGAGGCTGCCTCAGCCAGCAATCTCTCAGCCTTATCTGAAAAAACAGTCAAGATTAGACCCCCATAATATCCAGAATTTTCAATTAGTTTCAAAATAGGGTAGCTTAGATGGCATAGATAATAATGAAATCTATCAATATCTACCATTTCTTTGACTACTTCAGTATGATAGAAATTGCCCTCCATTTTCTAGTAAAGAGAATCAAAATGAAAGAATAAATTTGAATAATAGTTTGTATCCTCTCATGTTGGTTTTCAAAAAGTAAGAAACACAGAATTGAAATATGCCAAGGTGTATTTAGGAAGTCGTTAAGTGGAGTCCAGTTGAGATGCACCTTCTGTTATCTTCCAGTCTCAAATCAGCAAAAATCCTACGGTTTCATTTTTTATTTTTATCTATTTCTTGTTTTCAAAATAAAATGGAGCCCTATGATAGCTGGGATGAATTAGATAAAAATCAACAAAAACGCATGTTCAAAAAGCCTAGAGCTCTTGGTTATGCGTTATAGATCTATCCTCATTTAAAAGTTGAAAAATAAGTTATTTGGAGGCAGAAAATAAAATGGTACTACAAAAATTATGTTTATGTTATCTAGGTTCCTAAAAAATGACGTTAGCCTACATGGAAGAGTTGCATGGAGTTTCCAATCAGTGATTGCCCCACAAACATAAGTTTCCAGTGCTCCGAATAGCACCTTAAGTAAGCTTTCTCATGGAAACAAGATTGCTACAATGACCTAAATCCAGAAATTCAGGTTTATCATCATGTAACCCGAGTGGTAATATATATTAACAGTATATAAAGACTGAAACCATTAATTTGGCTTCGGTGCAAGTGCATTTTGGAGGCAGAGAAAGAAAGATACAGAAGAATGACACACTAGTTCGTTTGGGAAGTAGGTTGGCTTTTTTGGCTATTTTAACTTGGGGCTAAAAAGCTTTGTTTGGGAAGGACTTTTAGCTTTTTTGACTTTTTTGTGAAAAAAAAAATGTAATGATTATAGATTGGATGTGATGTTTTATTTTATTCGGCTAAAAAACCTATTTTGTTTTTTGTGGCTATTTTAGCCAAAAAAATCCCCAAACCCTCTTTCCCAAAGGACCATTTAGGAGGTCACATTTTAGATTTGTGAGCTAAGTACAACACTCTTGCTAATTGCTATCATCCACTATGATAACACCAATCTTTCACTTACAATTACATATCCCACTTTTTCGTTTTTGTTTTTAAGTAGAAATTACAAAAAGAAAAAAGAAAAACAACAGAGTTTGACCCTTGTAACTGTAACAAAATAAATCTTGAGTTTTTAATTTTATCAATTTAAATCATAATCTTTTGATTTGTTTTCAATCTTAATATTCACGTATTTTCATCAAGTAAAACCAATAGAAAAAAAGAATGTTTTAGCAACTAAACTCAATGTATGTGTATATAAAATGTCTAAAATATCATTTTTCATTGAGTTTAATAACTAAAATACCATTTTTCCATCGATTTTACTTTAACAAAATAGGCAAATAGTTTAGATTGAAAAGAATAAAAAAATCAAAAGATTAAGGCAGTATTTGGTTTTTAAATGAACTTTTGGATTAAAAAATGCAAAAGTATGTTTGGTTTACAATCATTCAAAATTGTTTTTTCTCTCTCCTCTCTCCTTCTCTTTTTCTTTATTTTTTTTTTTTAGGACGTATGTGTAAATTCTAATAAATAGACTTATTGTCCAATAGATCCTGTAATAATTAATGACATTTTTCATCAAACACTAACTAAAAACATCACTAATTGTTAATTTTCAAAGACAATATAAAATTTTTGTCACAAAAAAATGTTACTAATTATAAGTTTAAGTGACAATTTTAAAAAATCGTCACAAAAAAAATCACTAATTTTCAACTTTCAGCGACAGTTTGAAAAATTTGTCACAGAAAAACGTCACTAATTGTAAGTTTTAGTAACAATTTATAAAAATCGTGACAAAAAAAAATCACTAATTGTCAATTTTTAGCGGCACATGCAAAAAATTGTCACAAAAAAATTATTTTTAGCGACAATTTTAGTAGGACTTATTTTCAATAGGACTTGATAGGAATTAAATTCAACTATTAAGACCTATTCGTAGTTTACCTTTTTTTTATACATCAATCAATCACTTTTTCTCTCCTCTCATGTTCTTACATTCTACACATCAATCAATCAATCAATCAATTTTCTCTCATTTATTCAACTACAAAAAAAATACAAATTATCCCAAAACTATTTTCAAAATGTAGATGGCTTCTCTCCAATCCACATAGTGGACTAGAGCGTACCACCACGGGTCTCGTTTCGAGAATCTGAACCGTTCAATGTGTAGAACTCGCTGAATACTTTATCCTTGTAAAAAATTACGTTGGTCGGATATCGATAGTCCTTTAATCGGAACACATTTTTGTTAACAATTTATTTTTAAAATCATGTTTACCATTGACAAAAATGTGATGCGATCAAGGGACTACCGATATTCGATCAACGTAATTTTTTGCAGGTACAAAGTACTCGACGAGCTCTACACATTGAACAGTTTGAATCATCGAAACGGGACCCGTGGTGGGACTCACGGGCCCAATAGTATGCTTCAGTCTACCTCTCCCTCTCAAAATATATAAGCAAACAAGTTTTCAAATTTTACAAACTCTTTGCAAAAACCATCTTCCAAAATTGATTTTCAAAACTAAAGCAAATGAAACCTAAGGTTCAAATTGGCCAAATAGAAAATTCATTGTTTATTTTGTTTAAAGGGTCCAATCCTAATTTTTTTGATCCCCCCTTACTAATTTCAATTTAAAAATACATTATGCATATGTCCTTTGTTCATGAAGTTGGAAAATTGCCTATTATCCCCTAACCTCTAGCATTTACACTGCCATGAAACAATTAAAAAGTGTAAGGGATGTGTTTGATTATATTTTTTCATTTTACAGAGCCCATATATTTGGCAGCAAATCCAAACCCAATCACCTCCCGTTCGAAAAATTACTCCCCACATATTCAAAAAAATTATTTTCCCTAGTAACTTCACCAAATAAACATCATCATCATCATCATCACATCACAATCACACAGTACAAATGCCAGAAAATTCAACATCCTATATTTCAGGGCGATTTGGGCACAAGCTGGACAAGCTGCCGCTTTGAGTTTGAAAAATTAATTAAAAATAAGGTTTCAAAATTTTATTAATTATTACATTAATTTATAAAAAAATCCCATTGAAATTTAAAGAATCTCAACAAAATTCAGTTATGATTTAAAATTAATTAATGTGGTGAATTGCTTAAAATTATTGACTGGTTATTTTCCAATTATAGAATATGATTAATTATACTACTTGCAGCTACACTTTTCAAATTAAAATTAATTAAATCTTGCCTTTACTTATCTATGCCAAATGAAAGATGAGAGGGTAATTTGTGAACAAATTGGGCCAAGCTAGGAAAAGTCTTCTTTGGAAGTTAGGCCGCGCAATGGGCCGAGATAACAGCTGATGTAGCTTAGTCTTAGGCTAAGAAGACACTAGGTCGGCCAGAGATGGGTTGCCAGGGCCTGGACCTAACTATCTGAAGGTAATCCTTTATCGAACTGGGATGTTGTCAATAGAGAAGGCCGAGCTCTGTGTAGCTCGGCAAGGTACCATTTGGTGGCTCGGCTTCCGATCACACGGCCTAAACAGTAAGGGACCAAGATAAAATAGCTCAGTCAAGAATGTATATTTGAGCATGAGGGTGTGGCCATCTCACCTGGCTTGTAGTGATGAGGGTGTATTAAGGATAAGCATTATCCTTGGATATGAGACTCTTAGGAGGACTCTGCTGAGTAGAGTAGAGTCCTATTAGGATTATGCAAACCATCTCACTTGGTTGGTAGTGAGTAGAGTGTTATCAGGATAGACACTCTTCACTGGAAGTGTGATTCCTAGAAGGACTCTTATAAGGAGAGTTAAAATCTTGTCAGGCAGAATCTATAAAAGCTCATAGTTGGAACTATGTACAGGTATCACAATTCTTGAGTTTTTGTGTCTATTGTCTATTTGCTGACTTAGACATCGGAGATGTTTCCGGCACACACCTGCCGGTTAGCTCACGTTTGTGTTTTCAAGTATTAAATCGACGACGTTTGTAGGAGTGTAAACTTGATCAACAGGATTATACGAGAAAATTATTTCGTACTCGTACAAAAGATTAAATGAATTTGTAATTTTATCCGGCGAAAATAATTTAACTTATAAGTTGAATTATGTCAACTAAATTAGTAATTTTACAACTAAACATGACAGATCAATGATGTTTAAGTGATTTTTGTTACATTATATTTACTTTTTATTTGATCCTTCATTTTAGATTATTTTAGTCATTTTTCTTATTATTTTTAATGGAAGTAATTTATGAGAACTGTCAAATACTTTAAAAAAAATAAAATTAAACACATAATAATTTTTTTTTTTTAAATGTATGAAGGCCCGTATGAAAAGTGAATTAATGCTAGAGATAATGAGAGAGAGAGAGAAAATATATATATATATGAAGATCATAACGAAAGATAATAAAATATTATACACTAATCAAAGAATAAAAAAAAATTATAAAATAATATTATTTTTATCATCCCTAGTATTATTCTTTTAGGTGGCCACAAATTAAATGTTAAAACCACGTGGTTTTGACATTTTCAAAGTTGTTTTATACTTAAAATAACATCCTTTTGACATTTTTAGACCATTTGAGCCACAAAATTTGTAGCCACCAAGGCCCATTCTTAAAATGTCCCTGAAAAAGTCAGAGCGGGTCTGCCTGTCCTTCTTCACATTTCTCTCAGAGCAATCAAACAAACGCACAAACGGCGGTGTTTAGTATAAAATTCAGAAGAGAAATCAATATGGAATTCGAGATTCGAAAACCCTAGAGAAATCACACGAATGAATTCGAAGTAAAAGGAATCGAGCGAACCTAGGGTGGCAGGGGTGTCGTAGAAGACGGTGGAGGCCTGGACCACGGTGGCTCGAACCGTCGGAGCGGAGTCGCTGCCGCCCATATCCACCTCCGCGAACAGTGGTCCGTCGGTGGCTGGTGCAGGGACGAGAGCCATGCTGTTCCGAGTCGCTTTTTCTCTCTCCTCAGTCTTAGCACTGGCTGACCTTTTTGCATAGTATTTAAAAGGTTGTGGGGGGACCTTTCTAGAATACACTGCACTGGGACTGACGAGGCTGCTGCTTTTTAATTTAAAAAATATTATGAATTTTAAATAATTTATTAAATCTTTATTAAATTTTTTTACGAGTGCTGCTCCGAACTCTCTATACGGAACGAACGAACCCCAGCACTCCACTTTCACGTGGGCGGCTGCCAATGATATTAAAAAAAAAAAAAATAACAACAACAACAATAATAATAACAGTTTTTGATCAATCAAAACAGACCCCAGCACTCCATTGGGTCTTATGCATTTTTCATTTTTTTATGTGAGTACGTGATTCATATGAATTTATATATAAAAGATTTGTTAAAAATTTTAATAGATAACATAACTCTTCTAATTTAATTTGTAGGAAATAGTTTGTCGCAAATGAAAATTTTTAATTTGTAAAAATTATTAAATATAAGATTTTAATTGATAAGAGTCATTAAATAAAATATTTTTATAAGTAAAAGTCTTTAAAAAAAATTTAATTGAATTATATTTTCATAAACTTTTATTGATAAAAAATATCTCCAGTAGACACAAATTACATCCTAGTTTTTATATGGAGAATGTTAATCAATGCATCTTATGCATTGTTTAATATTAAGAAATATATTAAAAAATATATATATATATATATATGTTTAAAATATAAAAAATATTTAAAAAATTATTTATTTTAATAAAATGAATTTTAAATAATTTATTAAATCTTTATTAAATTTTTTTACGAGTGCTGCTCCGAACTCTCTATACGGAACGAACGAACCCCAGCACTCCACTTTCACGTGGGCGGCTGCCAATGATATTAAAAAAAAAAAAAATAACAACAACAACAATAATAATAACAGTTTTTGATCAATCAAAACAGACCCCAGCACTCCATTGGGTCTTATGCATTTTTCATTTTTTTATGTGAGTACGTGATTCATATGAATTTATATATATGTAAGTTCCACACTCATATAAAAAATTTGTTAAAAATTTTAATAGATAACATAACTCTTCTAATTTAATTTGTAGGAAATAGTTTGTCGCAAATGAAAATTTTTAATTGGTAAAAATTATTAAATATAAGATTTTAATTGATAAGAGTCATTAAATAAAATATTTTTATAAGTAAAAGTCTTTAAAAAAAATTTAATTGAATTATATTTTCATAAACTTTTATTGATAAAAAATATCTCCAGTAGACACAAATTACATCCTAGTTTTTATATGGAGAATGTTAATCAATGCATCTTATGCATTGTTTAATATTAAGAAATATATTAAAAAATATATATATATATATATATGTTTAAAATATAAAAAATATTTAAAAAATTATTTATTTTAATAAAAATACATTAAATTTAATATAAAATATTTTATATATTTTTAATTATTTTATATTTTATTTGTATCTTAAAATACTTGTTACCTAGACCTTTTAATGTTGAGCAGTGATGACACGAGGTAATGTGTGGCTATAATCGAAGGGGTTGTGGCATTTTGGTGAAGCATTGGGGCATACGTTTTGAGATCCTAAGTTCCACACTTTTTAGGACAAATTCTCAAAATTTTTGGTGTAGTGGTCTTAGGACAGTCCTTTAAGTGTTGGACAACCAGTGTTCAGGGTTTGGGTATAGGGTTGAGTTTTGAAAGCTGTACTCTCTGACTGAAATGGTGTGTACGTTGTAGAGTTGGTGCACACACACGAGGTTTGTTCCTCGTCCTACTCCGATTAATCGATATTAGGTAATTGATTCCAAAATCGACGGATGACAGGTTGGAGAGTAGGGTTGAATCTTGGAAGTTGTACTCTCCGACTAAAACGCTGTGTACATTGTGGAGTTAGTACACACACCTGAGATTTGTCCCTCGTCCTACTCCGATTAACCGATATTAGGTAATTGATCCCAAAATTAACGGATGACAAGTTGGAAAGTTAATTGTTAACTAAAAAATCGTGTGGCTACGAAGAGATTTGAATTAGCATGTAAGAAGCTGCCAACTGTTCAAGGCCCCACCGATTTAGAAAGCAAATGGAAGCCATCCAATTTGACATAACTTCAAAATTTTAAATTACATTATCTCTCTATTTTTTTACATATTTTTTAAAATAAAAATTAAAAAATCAATTTTTAACTAACTTTTTAAAACAACTCTTTGTTTACCTTTTGGTTTGGATTATCTTATGTTAGTTATCTTTTTATCTTAGTTAGGTTACATCATCTCTCTATTGTATTATATATATATATATTTTTTATAAAAATATATATATATGTTTATTTATATCATCTTAAACAACTGAAAAAGTATTTGGGTATGGTGTACCCATTTTGGGACTGTCGTTCAGCTTTTAGTATTATAGCACTCATGTAAAAAATTAACATAATAGAATATCAGTAATTATATATTTGAATTACATTTGTATTATAAAAAATACAATTATAATTTCAATAGTAATTATAGTATTTTTATAATATAAATGTGCTTCAAATATATAATTATCGATATCTGATCATCTTAATTTTTTATGAATATTCTATTTAACGAATCTTAAAAAATAAACAATTTTGATCACTAAAGTCGGCTCCAAAATGAACCCCATCAAGCCCAAATGCTCTCTTAATTTTGAATTGCCAATCTATTCCCATTTTTTTTTTAAATTAAAAGGTTAATAATTGAAAAATAAAAATATTTTTGAGCTTGAGTTGTACCTCTCTCTTTTTTTTGTCATTTATTTATATTATTTTGTGTCATGATTTATATGTAGAAGTTGCATTGTTTTGGGAAGTTGATTAAAATTTAATTTTTAGTTTTTTTTTTTTTTAAATGTGTAAAAAAATAGAATGATGGTATGACCCAAAATAGTTTAAATATTGATTTTTAACTTTTAGCCAAGTTTTAAAATTGCCCATTTAGCATAATAAAATTATTAGATTTTTATTGAATGGGGCATTGTTTAATTGGCAATGTCATAATTGGCCAATTTAGGTTTTGTTTGGAAATAACGTTTTTTAGATTGAGTTTTTAACTTTTTGACTATCATTTAGTTAAAAAAGTTTTGTTTGAAATGAACTTTTAATTTTTTTGTAATTTTATGAAAAAAAATAAAAGTAAAATGATTATAGTTTGAATATACCTTTAGTTTATTGACTTCTTAACTTATTTTATCTTTTAGTGGGTTAAATTAGTCCCAACCATCTTGCCAAATAACGGTTTAGGCTCCGTTTGGTTTAGTTTTTGAAACAAGTTTTGAGTTTTGAATTGTATTTTGAAAGATAAGTTGTTAAAAATAGTTTTGAAAATTGAAAATTTGTTTAGTTATGAATTTTGAAAATAATTTTGGGATGATTTATATATATATATATATTTTTTTATAATTGAATAGATCGGTGTGAGAAGAAATTTGATTGATTGATGTATAGAATGTGAGAGAATGAGAGAAAAGAGAATAAAGGGGAGAGAGAAAAAGTGAATGATTAATTGATTAATAAATAAAAAGAAAAAAGAGGAGGTGGGGGAAGAGAAAAATAATTTTGAAAAGAATTTTAAATCGGACCGGAGGGCAGTCATTTCCTTTTAAAAATTTGTTAGCCAAACATATTTTTTTAATTTTTTTATCCAAATGATAATTTAAAAACTAAACCAACAACTACCTTAGACTCTCTAACAATACTTAATATATATATATATATATATATATTAAAATTATAGAAAAAATACAATAAAATCAATCTAGAAAGGAAAGGCCTCATTCCAACCCATTTTGTGGATTGAACGTGTTAATAGACTTGTGGAATTTATCATGTGCCTCATTTCGATAATTCAAACCGTTCAATATATAGAGTTTTCGATTACTTTATCCCTACAAAAAATCACGTTAATTGGATATTAATAGCTCCTTGATCGAAACACATTTTTGCTAATAATTTATTTTTAAAATTATATTTACTATTGACAAAAATATGATATAATCAAGAGACTATTGATATCCCATCAATGCGATTTTTTGTAAGAATAAAATACTCGACAAGCTCTACATATTCACGATTCAGATTATCTAAATAGGATTTATAGTAAACTTCACGGGCTCAAAAGCACAATCCAATCCATAAATAAACAGTACGATCCAAGCCCTTTCCACCTAGAAAGAACATTTTCATTTGAATAATCTAAATAAATGCACTCAAATATACATATTTACAAAAAAGTGTATATCATATATAAAATATCATAATTAAATAATTTTTAGTTATAATAAAAACAATAAATTATATTTTGTCCTTTTATAGTGCTTACTTTTTTATTTTGCTAGTTAAAATTTATTTTTTCTCACCCTGACCTTTTGTGTTTATAATTTTTCTCAATTTATGTTAAAAATTATGTAGAAAAAAATTGAGAAATTTGATGATAAATCCAATCTAAGAAGGGTGCAAAGATTAGGTCCAGTGAATATTTTTTGTTGGTGAGAAATCCATGCTTCGTGAAATAATTTGATGAGAAGTCTTGGAAGACATTTTGTTTTTAATTTTATCCATTGACTTTTTTTTATCTGTTTGACTTTTCATTGATTATCTGTTCAAAATTATATCTATATGTTCAAATTTTTTGTCTATTTGTTCAAATTTATATCCATCTGTTCAAAAATTTTGACAATATGTTCAATTTTCCCCCTAAATTCTATCTATCTATTCATTTTTTTTCACTACCAGTTGAAAATATGTGTTTATTTGTTACAATTATCATCATCAACATCAATTTTTTTCCAGATCTGTCTCATATATACACGCACTCACTGATATACATACATACATACACTCACAAACATACACAAACCCCACTATCTGTTAGCAAAATCTTTCTCTTTCTCTCTTTACAACAGCAATTATCTGTTGAAATTTATACCGATTATAAAAAATTTCAACATATCATAATCTTTCTCTCTCTCTTTGTATACAGATTATCCTTTTCCATAATCTTTCAACAGATCATAATTTTAACATTTCTGCAAT